GCCTTACAGAAAAATGAGCTCAAAATGGATTATGGAACTAGATGTAAGGACTAAAACTGTAAAACTCTTAGAAGAAGACATAGGAGCAAATACATTTTCCTGGGCTTGGGCCAGGCAGTGGTTTCTTAGCTGTGACACTAAACACACAAAGAACAAAACGAGAAAAATGGAGAATTTAGACCACTTCAAAATTTAAAACTTTGGGGTTACAAGCAATATCATGAAGAAAATGAAAAGACAACCCACAGAATGGGCAAAAATATTGGCAAATCATATGTCTGATAATGGACTTGCATCCTGCATGTAAAAAGGACATTTAAAATTCAAAAATAAAAAGACAAGCAACCTAGTTTTCAAAATGAACTAAGGTTCTGAATAGACATTTTTCCAAAGAATATGTACAAATGGACAATAAGCACATCAAAATATGCTTAATATTATTAATCATCAGGGAAATGGAAATGAAAACCACAGTGAGATACCACTTTACACCCACTAGGATGGTGCTAAGAAAAACGAATGGATGGTAGCAACTGCTAGCGAGGATATGGAGAAATTGGAACCCTCACACTTTACTGGTGGGAATGAAAATGGTTCAACCACTATGAAAATAGTCCAGCAGTTTCCCAGAAGGTTAAACAGAGTTACCATGTGATCCAGCAATTCTACTCTTAGGTGTATATGAAGACATGTCTACACAAAGTTGTATATGAATATTCATAGCAGCATTATTCATAAGAACCAAAAATGGAAACAACCCAAATGTCCATCAACTGATGAATGGATAAACAAAAAGGTAGTATATCCATACAATGGAATATTATTTGGTCATACTAACTGTGAAAGGAATAGAAGACTAATACATGCTCCAGAATGGATGAACTTTGAAAACATTATGCTAAATGAAAGAAACCAGTCACAAAGGACCACATGTTATATGATTCTATTTCTATGAACCGTCTAGAGCAAGCAAATTTGTAGACGCAGAACACACATTAGTGTTTGCCTAGGGATGGGGCAGTGGGGAAGTGGGGAATGATTGTAATGGGGTTTCCTTTTGGGGTGATGGAAATGTTCTAACATGAATTGGAATGATGGTTGTGTACTCTGTGTATAAATGCTGTTGAATTGTACATGTTAAATGGGTTAATTGTATGGTAAGTAGATTAGGTTTCAATAACAACCATAAACAAGTTCTGGTAGCATCTGCCTCCTCCCTCTTGAGCTCTGCATCTCAACATCCAGCCTGCCTCACTGTACAGAAAGGCTATGTTGACTCAGGAGCATGGCAGCACCAGACACCTAGCCCTAGCCACCGTCTGCCTGCAAACACATGATGGACCCCTAGCAAGAGTGATAGAGGAACTGCCCACTTGAGCCCCAGGCAACCCAAGAATACTTAGATATAATGAACTGGTGGTTGTTTAAAAGCCACCAACCTTGAGGATAGCTTGTTACATAGCAAAACATAATTGGAACAAGTAGTAAGTCTTGCCTTAACACTATGACCACATATTAGTACCAAAATCAAATCCCACGAAAGTCTTTATCTTAGAGAAGAAACTGTATAGGGACATTATTTGATTTTAAGAAGAAATGAAACAAGGAAGAACTAAGGCTGGCGGGGACATGTTTTAAATGGCAAGCTGAATCAGTGCAGGAGGGCCTGCCAAGTGGTCTCTTTCCTAAAGCTCACATTGGCAATAGCAGCTTACCAGCCACTTGTCCAGAGGCCACCAGCAACTTAGCAGGAGCTCTAGAGGTCTGGCAGGTCATGTTTCTGGTTACAAGAGGTGACACAAGTAAACCCTCTCCACTTGTCCTCCCCACACCTGAAAGGAAAATCGCTGAGCTAGAAGGGATGGAGTGTAATAAAGAGAGATAAAAGCCTGGTGGGTCCATCTGTGTCTTAAATGGAGACTATCAACCGGGCAGGAATTCTAGATTCCCAATCCTGTGCCCAGCCATGACTTTCATATAATAGGACTCTGAAGATTCTGCTGGGAAGACTGGAGGGAGTGCAGAGGAGTTTCTGTTGTCATTTCATAGCTGTTGGGCACAAATCCATCCTGCCCTGGGATAGACACCATGATTTATTAAGTAGTGTAAACACTTTGTATATACGTCTTTTATACTGTAAAGCTGTTTTATTCACACTCATAGATGATTTTCACAATCATGGGTGAAAATAGGATTATACCCTGGAGAAAAAGGAGGCTGAAACAAAGAAAAGTGGCTTGTTTTATATCTTACAGCTAAGTGATCTATTCTGAATAAACTTAAGTCTTCAAATTACTAGCCCAGCGTCCTTTCCACAACAGAACTGGGCTCTAAGTCTGAAAGCACTGAAAATGCACATCCTGTGAATGGACATTCAGGTATGGAGGTTCATTTACCCCAAATGAAATGATTTATAAATATGTATAATGTGCTTCTTTGCATGACCTTGAGCAAGTTTCCTACCCGCAACATTGAATGCTATCATTCAATTTTTTTTTCATATGGATGAGAATTACATTTTGGAAATTCAGATATAATTGACACATAATATGTTAGTGACATTTTTCTCATGTGGATGAAGAGGGGGTTGGATTACAGTGATCTCTAAGGTTTTTTCCTGCTCTAGAATGAAACGGTACAACTTGTGGTGCATATTATTGTTAGTTTGAAAAGAAATGAGGGTTTTTAAAAGAAAGAAACTTTCACGCAGAATACAGGAACTTATCAGGAATTGTTTTAAACAAGGAAGATGACACAATGATTTTGGCATTTTATGGGGTTTCATTTTCCATTGAACCAAGTTGTGTGCAAACATGGGCCCTACCCTATTGGAGCTTATGATTGAGTAGAGGAGGTAGTCTTTAATCTGATAATCACACAGACTGTACGGGGAGCAATGAGATGGCCTAATGGAGACCTGAGGATAGCTGAGATAACAAAGGATGAGGAGTCAAGGAGGTTTAAGGAATAGAATAGTGGAAAGGTGGGGGAGACCATTCCAGCTGCAGGAATGACATATTCAAAGGCCCTGTGGCAGATGAGGTATGCTATGTTTGAGGAGCTATAAGAAGACCATCTCTGAAGCACAATGAGGTCAGAGGTGAAAATGATCCTAACGGGGTAAAGGGAAAGATCATGCATGCATTAGAGGCCATATAAAGGATGTCAGTCTTTAGCCTAAAAGCAATCAGAAACCACTGAAGTATCTTCAACAGGAGGAAGATATTATCAGGTTTGAGTTTGAAAAAGGTAAATTTAATTGCTATGTCTGGACTTAGATGCTTGAGGTTGGGTTGAGAACAAGAGTGGGTACATAGTGAAGTCTAAGGAAGAAACCATTGTTATTGGGTTAAAGGTATTGGTATTATGGGTTAAGGTAGTGCAGCATTGGAGATGGGAAGGCCTGGACATATATGAGTATGATTTGGGACATAAAATTCACAATTCCTATGACTGCCTGGACAGGGGGGATGAGGAAGTTGGAGGCATAAAGGATGCTGTCTTGTTTTCTGGCAGGATGATGGAAGCACTCACTGGCACAGGACTAGGTTTGGGGGAAGAACCTGAGTTCAGGTCTGGGTTTGTTGATTTTGAGGTGTCTTTGAGATATCCGTATGGATACAAAGGCCGGGAGTTGGGAATATAGGCCTGATCCAGGGACATAAATTTGGGGATCTTTGGGGCATGGATGGCAGTTGAAGCTAAGGGAATGAAAGAACTTCCCTGAGAGACTAAGCAATGAGAAAAGAGGTATCTGGGGAACCGAATCTCAAGAGATTCCAGCCTTTAAAGTCCAGGGAGACAAGGAGGAGCCAACACAAAGGTAACTGAGAAGGAGGTAGGAACAGAGGGATAGGAGGGAAACCAGGACAGGGTAATGCCCCTCTGGGTGAGGAAAATGGTCAGTCGCATCTAATGCTGTTAACATCAACCAAAATGGGGATCCACAAAATGCCCATCATATATGGATGCAAGGGAGAGTACTCCAGCCCCAGCAGGAGTTTATTCGGAGGTGTGGTAAGGACAGAAGCGAGGGCAGTTGGAGAATGCTGGAGAAGGAGGCGTGAGAAACAAGCTCTGTGGGGACGGGGGTGTTGTGAAGGAGTGGCTTACGTCAGTTCAGGCTGCAAATGCCACAGACTGGGTAGCTTAAACAATCAACTCTTATTTCTCACAGCTGGGAGGCAGGGAAGTCCAAGATCTAGGCGCCACACAGATCTGGTGTCTTGTGAGAGCCCTCTCCTTGGTTTGCAGACAGTCTTCTCCTTATATCCTCCTCAAGAAAGAAAGGGGAAGCAAGTTCTCTGTCTCTTCTTGCAAGGGCAGTAATCCCATCGTGGGGGCCCCACCCTCATGAAATAACCACCTCCCAAAGGTCCCAGGTCCTGAGATACCATCACACTGGGCATTAGCATTTCAGTATATGAATTTTGAGGGGACACAAGCATTCAATCCATAGCAGTCATCTTGTTAGCCCAATGGTTTGTGAAACTGAGTGACTCCTTTAGGAAAGAAAACTATCCTTTTTAGAAAGGTGGGGTGGGGCTGGGTCAATAAATTGTCCTTCTCAAGGTGGCGAAACTGAATGCAGTCTGCTAATGCGGGTTTTGGATTACATTTCCAGGTTTGTTTGTTTTTTCTTTCCTTTCCTTTCTTTTTCTTTTCCTTTTTCTTTTCTCTTCTTTTTTTAAGTAATCCCTACACCCAACGTGGGGCTTGATCTTATAACCCCAAGATCAAGAGTTGCATGCTCTATTGACTGAGCCAGCCAGGCACACCACCAGTTTTTTTTTTTTCTTAATTACCAGGAGAAAATGCATTTTGTTCACTCCTGAAGCAGGTCCTTCTGTTAGAAATTACATTTGTAACAGCACATGACGGCCACATCTGTCTGTCTAACAACTTTGCCGTGAGACTTCGCAGAAACCTGTGATGTAGGATTTCAAAGGAGCTATTTTCCCTCTATGGAGGTTTATGTTTCTTCTCTTCCTTCCTCCCAGGCTGATGAGCCCTGAAAACACACTGCTGCAAGCCAGGGAGGAGGAAGGGGTCAAGTACGAGCGCACCTTCATGGCGTCTGAATTCCTGGACTGGCTAGTCCAGGAGGGAGAGGCCACCACGCGGAAGGAGGCAGAGCAGCTGTGCCACCGGCTTATGGAACACGGCATCATACAGCACGGTGAGTGCGTGGGGCAGCGGCTGCCGACATAACGAGCAGTCCTAAACTCTGGTGGCTTACAACCACAAGCATTTATTTCTCACTCATGGGTCTGTAGGTCAGTTGAGCCTCTGCATGGGCTTGGGCTCAGCTTGGCCTGTCTCCAAACTGGGCTCAGGTTCAGCTGGGCTGGCCGTGCATTCTCATGCTGGGACCCAGGCTATAAAGGAACATCTACTCTGGGATATAGTGTTTTTGTAGATGAGGGCAGAAGTTAACGAGGGCAGGCAGATCCATATAGTGTCTCCAAAAACTTCTGTTCAGATGCAATTTACCATCCTCAACACCCATGTCCAGTTGGCTACAGCAAGTCACCTGGTCCAGTCCTGATGGGAATTAGATGCTCCTCACAAAGTTGGTTACAAGGGGAGGATGAACATTTGCTGAACCATGGTGCAAGCTGCCACAATGAAGAGCTCATCCAATAGGCCTCATAAGAGTTTGACTTTCCTTTTAGGGCTGACTCATAATGATGGTGGCATAAACTATTGGTTGAGAATGATATTAGTTATCTATTGCTGCATCAGAAATTACCCCAGACATTAAAGATATAAAACAATAATAAATGTTTATCACCTCCCACAGTTTCTGTGGGTCAGGAAGTTGGGAGAGGCTTAGCTGGGTGGTTCTGGGGTGGGGTCTCTTTGTGAGATTGCAAAGATGTCAGTCGAGGGCTACTGTCGTCGGAAGGCCTGACCGGCCACAGGATTGGCCTCCACAATGGCTCACTTGTATGCCTCACGGGTTGGTGCTGGATGTTGGCAGAAAGCTTCAGTCCATTGCAGTCTGGACTTCTTCATAAGGCTGCTTGAGAATTCTTAGGACATGGCAACCTGGCTTCTTGCGGAAGGAGAATCTAAGAGAATGCAAGACAGAAACTATAATGTCTTCTAAGTGAGCCCTGGAAATCACACACTGTCATTTCCTCAGTACTCCACTGGTGACCAGGTCGGCCCTATTCGGTGTGAGAGAGGACGATACAAGGGTGTGAATACCAGGAGGCAAAGATCACCGGAGCCATCCTAGAGGCTGGCTATCACAAGAACGTAGGCTCTGGAATCCCAACTCCCAGTTATAGCTACTTGCCTTCTCTCATCTATAAAATGGGAATATCTACACAGGTGGTTGTAGGAATAGATGTGGTAGATATAAAGCACTCAGTTCAATGCCCTGATCTTAATAAGTGCTCAATTTCTTTTTTTTTTTTTTAAGATTTTATTTATTTGAGAGAGAGAGAATGAGAGACAGAGAGCATGAGAGGGAGGAGGGTCAGAGGGAGAAGCAGACTCCCTGCTGAGCGGGGAGCCCGATGTGGGACTCGATCCCAGGACTCCAGGATCATGACCTGAGCCAAAGGCAGTCGCTTAACCAACTGAGCCACCCAGGCACCCAATAAGTGCTCAATTTCTTAACATAGCTGCAAGATATATGTTCTGAACAGTGAGGACAGGGCTGAGAACCAGGTAAGCATATCAACCTAAAAGTCAATAGGAAAGGTAATACTTGAGTCATTCTTTTTTTTTTTTAATTTTTATTTATTTATTTGTCAGAGAGAGAGAGCGTGCACAAGCAGGGGAAGTGGCAGGCAGAAAGAAAAGCAGGCTCCTTCCTGAGCAGGGACCCCAGTGTGGGACTCGATCCCAGGACCCAGGGATCATGACCTGAGCCGAAGGCAGACGTTTAACCAACTGAGCCACCCAGGCATCCCTACTTGAGTCATTCTTGCTGTGAACTCCCGTACCCCTACTTCTGTACAGGCCTTGGATTTCTATCCCAAGGTTAGGAAGATAATAATGGAATTAAAGAGATGAAAGGCACTTTCAGAATTATTTGGAGCAGTGTTTTACAGCTACAGATTGCAACCCTTTAGTGGGCTGTGAAATCAGTTTAGAGAGCCATTCCCAGCATGACTACTACACAAAGTACGGTCTAGGGACTGTACGGTGTCACCATGGGAGCATGATAGAAACAGAATCTCTGATCCTACCAAGTCCTGCTGAATCTAATCTACATTTTAGCATGACCCCCAAGTGGTTTGAAGGCACATTAAAAGTTTGAGATGCCCTGGACTGGAGGATTTAAATAGGATAGAAAATATCAGAGCATAGTTTACATAGTAAGGTTAAGTATTGTTTTGTAAACTTTGATATCAGTGAGATAATTATATAAACATATGGACATATTCTTGTGTGTATTGACTTGCCACATACAAATTGTTACTGTGTGCTGGGGTCAAGTATTTTGAAACCCATTGACCCAGAGGCATTGACCAGAGAGGCACTCAAGCCACTGAGTATATTCCAGGGTGGTTTCTCCTATGTGACCTTGCCATGATTAAACTCACAGCCGTTTATTCATGGCCTCATATGTCTGCTACTGTGCTAAGCTCACTGAGGGTGGGAAGCTGGGTAGAAAGTAGGGTGCCCATATGATCTCTGGCCCTAGACATCTTAGAGTCTTGTTGGGACTCGAATGTGGAATAGAACCAATTAGCGAACAGAAAAAGTACTGTACATTTCATTTATTTATTTTACACCCCGTGGCAGGCACCGTTCTAATGATTTCACAAATATTGACTTATTTAAACCTCTTAAACTCTTTTGAGGCAGATATGCTTTTTGTTATTATTGCTAAATTTATTTTATTGTGGTAAGAACCTCCCATGAGGTCAATCTTCTTAACAAACTTCTAAGTGCCCAATATAGTATTGTTGACTATAGGGCAGGTGTTCTTATTCTCATCGTTTTACAGAAAAGGAAACCAAGGCACCAGTAGGCTAAAGATTTTGTCTGAGGCCGCTTGGGTAATAACATCCAAATGGGTATTTGCTAATAAGTGTGAACTCAGAGTTGGTAGGAGTATGGGGCTTTCCACAGTGAAAAATGGTGCATTTGGGTTAGAGTTAGTTCTGTTGTCTTTGCTATAGACAGAAAACTTGGTGATACCAAGTGCCAGAGAAAACCAGCTTCTTGAACTACAGTTTACTGACTAATACTGTAACATCTTCAGAGCAAAGAGAGAGGGTGCCAGGAATTGTTTCCAAATGATTTCCCAGGAGCTAGTAATTATACTTCAACTACATTGTAATTTTGTAATGCTATCAACATAAAACTCCATAAAGTTGTAATGTAAAGGATAAAAGAAGTCATTGCTGAGAGTAAAGATTAACTCCAGAAGTTTGCTTTCCATAGTTTCAGGAGGATTGAATATTCTCTATGTGTAGACGTCAGAGTTTCCAAGGGAGTCCCAGTTTCCCAGTCCAGCAATTCATTGCTAGATTACAGGTTCTACGTTTGAGTTATGAAAATATGGCCACCTCGTATGTGTATGTTAGAGCTAATGACAAATACAATTAGTGTCTTAAGCAAAGCTCTGAATTCTCCAGCTAATAATTAACTTCACAATTTAAATATTAAAGAAAGTCAGACATTAGGTTATCCAGAAAATTTCTGGATAAGTGTGGTTCCCTAGATTGAAACCAGTAGACATAAAAATCAGTCCTGCTATGAAATCCTAAACTAGCTTCATTTATAAATGGTGAATGATGTTCTGTAATCAAGACAGAACTTGGAGATGAATCATTAACGTACAAGCCCATGTATGTAAGTGTGTGTGTGTCTATGTGTATATATACACATGCATGCATATATGTATATATTGATACAAATGTATGTATGTTGACCACATATGTACATATTTATCCAGCTTTTTCATTTATTAAGGTTTACTGTATACCAGGTACTGGGCTAAATACTTTATGGATTTTAATATATTGTATATTTAATGTGTATATGCTTCACATATATGAGATATAATCTTATTAAATTTTCACAGCAATTCTGTGACATTGGTATTATTATTATTATTATTACAGTTTTACAGTGAAGAATTCAGAAGTGCAGAGCCCTTAAGATCTTTTCCCAAGGGCGTATAGCTAACCAGTAGCTACAAGGTGTTATGCCTGAAACAGACGTTTTCCTTGGCCCAGGATGTGTGTAACTGGGTGTGGCCGCCTCACACAGTGGAATGAACACTGTCTTGGGAGGGAGACAGACAGGAATTAGGTCCCAGCTCCTCCACCTGCTGAGTGACTATGTCAACATCTCAATTCTTCCATCCCTTAGGTTTTGAGATTTATGAAATTAGAGTCACATTATACACCTTTGAGAGTTATTTACTTACTCTGTGGGGGAGAGCATATGACCTCCCACATGTACTAGAAGGACTCAACATAGAGTTGGTCTCAGGGCTAAGATTTATTATGGTGAAAGGACACAGAGAAGGAGCCTCAGGGGCAAAAGATACCTCAGGTGTTGTCTGGAGAAATCCAGGCACAGCTTTCCTGGGTCCTCCCTCCCAGAGCCGCACAGATCTGGCTCCTTCGTCCAGCAGGGCCATGGGATAACGCATGTGCAGTGCTTCTGCTCGGGCGGAGCCCACTTGAGACTCAAGTACAAGGTTTTTGTTGGGGGCTGCTCATGGAGGTGCGCTCTGCCTGCTTGGCCGGCCGCAACTACCCATATTTCAGACTCTCCAAAGAAAAGCACGTGTTCTCCCTAAATCATAGTGTTTGTGCAGACAATCTAGGCAGGTTGGTATAGCAGCATGCAGTGTGCCAGGTAAAGTGGCCTTATCAGTCAGTAACTTGGGGAACTTTCCAAAAGCCAAGTTCCCAGATGCGAGCCACAGGCCAGGCCCCCCAAGTGAGCCCTTTATTATTATTTTTTTTTAAAAGATTATTTATTTATTTGAGACAGAAAGAGAGCACAAGGGGTGGAGAGGGGCAGAGGGAGAGGGAGAAGCAGACTTCCTGCTGAGCAAGGAGTCCGATGCGGGGCTTGCTCCCAGGACCCTGGGATTGTGACCCAAGCCGAAGGCAGACTCATAACCGACTGAGCCACCCAGGTGCCCCCCAGAGAGCCCTTCTGGATCAGGGCTGCCATGGTAACTCCTGCACAGAG